TTCTTTTCACCCATACTTTAGGAATTACTTTTGTAGCACTGCTTTATGGTTGCTTTGTGTTTGCACTGCTTCATTGTTACATCATTTGGAGGGTGGAATGAGAAAATTGTTGCAGGGAAGATGTATTGTCTTCCTAAACAGGAAGAACACAGAGTTTAAGAAAAAAGTTGTTATTCAATATGGCTTAAACTTAACACAATCTCAACAGTTAGTCTAGTGCATGCACCACCTGTCATTGTGAATGGAAATATTAGGAAATACAAAGAAAATAATCATGCAATTATTTTCTCCTTTTCTCTTGGTGGTTTTTGCATCATAGCTTTCTTGTTCTGATTCTGTCTTTTTTGTTCTGAATGTATCTTTCTTTACTCTTCTTTATTAGGAGTGGAAGCTGGAAACACTTTGTGACTTGTATGAGACACTGACAATCACCCAGGCTGTGATTTTCCTTAATACGAGAAGGAAAGTCGATTGGCTGAACCAAAAGATGGAGCAAAAGGATTTTACAGTCTCTTGTATGGTATGTCCTTCTTAGCCACAGGCCTAAATCTGTTTTACTCTTTTAGGATAACCTGTAATTGCGATGGGCTCCTCTGCAGCATGGTGACCTGGTGAAGATAGAGCAGTTGTAGCTTCATACTGGTCACCCCCCTACCTAGTATTGCTTAGGGTTAAGTCTCCCAGTAATTACTCGTGTGTTTGTTGGTGGCTACTGCCTCCTGCAGGAGGTGAAGCTGCACATGTTGTCAAGATGAGTGAGTGAGTGAGTGAGTGTAACAATAGAATTCTGAACTTGACACAGTTTGACCCAATGTTTTGTGGTGCTACTTATTTTTTTTTTTTAAGGAGTATCTCATTAGATAGACATAGGCCCTTAAAAAACAGTTGAGTTGTCTACTTTTGTGATTTCTGGCTCATAGCCACTAGCACACAGTTTTTAGTTCTTGCCATGACACTGTGAAAGAGAGTAGAAAGCAATGATCATCTCAATCATTTTAGGATTCTGCACCATTTAAACTGACAAATGTTTTCTTTGCAGAAATATCTTAATAAGTGTAACAGTGCATCATAAAACTTAGGGGAGAGCATTTTACCATTCAAATCAGCAAATTATGTCAGTTCTTGCTGTGTCACTATAAATCAAAACCTTTTCTTGTAGAAATATAGCATTAGATGTGATCTTCACATCATGGAAGCTTTAAAATTTTTTCTTCTTTAAAATGAGAGCATTTTACTGTCTGAATCAGGGACTAATGCTGAAAAGGGCTGCTTAATTTGCGAAAATAAAGACAAGCTGCAAAATATACCTCGAGTTATTCAACAGAATCATAGAATGAAAGAATAGTGGATCTATGGAATGGTTGAATAGGCTAATATACAGTTTTTATGAGATGAAAGTCTCGAAATTGGAATTGCAATAAAATAAGGAAATTATTTACAATTAACAAGTGAAATAAAAAGAAGCAGGGAACCATGAGGTTTTTGAGCTAGCCCCTTTCAATTATTACATAATTATTGTTGTCATTATTGTTATTGTTAATATTATTTTTTTACCATTTAATTATTGGTTGAATGTCAATTAGGTGGTATATTCTTGAATCATTTATTTCTTCTGGAACAGGGTGCTAATAAACATGTGGGATACTGCAGTTTTTTTTTTCTGTTTTGCATGTGAGACAAACATTCTGTAACACTACCTTGTGGCATCATCTTACAACCTCTAGTTATTTTAAATGCCTTTAAAATTGTGCTATGGCAGTAGCCATATGCAGTGTTTGACTGTCTATTTTTTCTTTAGCATGGTGACATGGACCAGAAAGAAAGAGATGTGATTATGAAGGAATTCCGTTCTGGCTCTAGTAGAGTGCTTATTACTACAGACTTGTTGGTAAGTATCTACTGGGAATGTTTGTTTTCGTTATGTTTTTTAACTTGAATACATTTTCCCCCCCCAAGATTTCGCCAGATTTCGTTGTAACAAATTATCAAATCTCATTTTTATCTCAGGCACGTGGTATTGATGTGCAGCAAGTCTCATTGGTTATCAACTATGATTTGCCCGGAAATCGTGAGAACTATATTCACAGGTGGGTTACTTTTTGCAAAATACAAGTAGTTAAATTTTGTGCTTTAATGATTGTTGTACCAGCTTACTTTCTTATCCATAAAAATCCAACCTTTATTTTTCAAGTTTGGACTATGCAATCCACGATAATCCTCTCTATCTTTGAGCATTTGAACTTGTCCTTGGGGTAATTTTTTTTTGGCGTCAACCCTCGCTGTGAAGATGGGTCTTGTATTTTAGAAGCGTTAGTTTGAAACCAGGTAGAAACATATACCTTGAAGTCTTCTCTGTCCTCTTACGTGTATATGTTTTTGCCATATCGGACGTTTCTCCTGGCAGAGTGCACGAGACTCGGAAAAAATAAGTAGTCTTTTGACACACAAACCAGACAAAGTTGTGTAACGTTGTCGACTTGCATATGTTAAGCGTGTCACTAAACTTATCGTCCTAAGAGTGGGCACACCGCTCGATAGATGTATCTTTTCCATCAACGTTTTATGGCTTTTCTCTCCTAACAACCAGAATTCAAACGAATTAACCTAGTTTTATTTCATACTTCTCTCGCAGGATTGGTCGTGGCGGCCGTTTTGGTCGTAAAGGCGTCGCCATCAACTTTGTGACCAACGATGATGTTCGTACATTACGCGATATTGAACAGTTCTACAACACACAGATTGATGAGATGCCAATGAATGTGGCCGACCTTATCTGAGTTGTCCAGTTGTTACCTAATGCAACTATCAAATTAAATAGCCGTGCTTTGCTCAAACCAAAGAAGGAAAAAAAATCGCAAAAGTTTCAAACCAAAAAAAGTAATGATCACCATATCGTACCGACAAGAACGGTGCGAAACCTCCGGATATGTCATATTAAATAAAACTTATTGGTTTTCAACGAATTTTGAAAAATATATATATTATTTTTTGTTTGTTTATCCGTGCATTTGTGTACAACTTGGTAGAATGCAGATGCCAAATCCAACACTCTTATACTAGTTTTGGATTAAAATAGAAAAAAAAAAATAAAAAAGAGGAAAACTTGTATTTAAAGGTTAGACTTGTGGGGTTTGACATCTGCTATGTGTTTGCTGTCTCTGCCTGTATGGTGTATCAGCTTTGTATGGTTACCTGAGTTGGTTTTTACATTTTATGTATAAGGAACACAGAATGCAGGTCTTTGCACAGAGAGTGCCCTTGTTCCCTCCTGGTCAATAAATGTTCCTAAGTTCAGGTAATTTTTTCGTGATTTTTGTTTACCACGCCATTCGTCAGGTTTTAATACTAGTCACGTAAGGATTGAGCTGGTAAATGGTCGCTATAGGAATAACTTAACATGCCCTTTTAATTTAACCTACTTATTTAGGTAACGCTTCCGCTTCCTTCTCCGCAAATACGTAGGTAAAACGGCCAGGAAATTGAAATTTTGACACTAATTTCGACTCGAGAGGGTACTGTGACACCAACGATGGTCAGCAATTCGAGACATTCGTGGACAAGCGTTAAGTGGTCATGCCACAGGTTGCTACAGTTAGCGGAGTATTGTCCTTCCGAAACGATGGCGGTATAGAACTGGGGTAGTGTAGCCTGCAGAGAAAGCTTAAGTTGGGTGTGACTAATGGATAATTTCTCCTTACAAAATCACACTTTAAAGTTATGACAATAAAGGAAATGATCAACAAGAAGAGAAGCTCTTGATTGTCAATCTCATTCCACTTGTCATCGCCTTGAGAAATATTCGGAGAACAATATGGAGAATATGGATACTGATGTCACGGTGTGACGAAAATGGCCGCCAATCTTTTCAATGGCAGCGAAAGGCTGGGGAGAGAAAGATTTGTACTAAGGGGGTGAGTGACAGTCAAAAATAAGGAGAGGGGCAGGGGTGGGGGAGTGAAAGAAACTCCCAATGGATCCTGAGGGAGCCGTAGTCGGGATCCTGACAGGAATAAGGAAAAGATTCCGGCGGAAATACTTACAATATTGCCTCAACGAGAAATGGGCCATGATACGGACGATGAATGCGAGTTTAGCGCTCTGTGGAATCTATTTGAATCCATCAACGATTTAGGATCCTACCGGGAAACTCCTAAGGCTATTGTTTCTCAGAAAATCTGTACTTACATGCCTGCTTCACAGAGAGTGATTACGTCATTTTTTAACACGAATTTCATGCTTGAGGCTCCATGCATTCCATAACATTTATTAAAATCACTTTAGAGCGAGAATGGTATCACTTACGGTTCTCCTTTAATATAGAAAAAGACGATGAGTGAAGCATCTATTATTACACGACTCGGGCAGTCAAAGGGCCAATAACTAAAATCAACCAATCAAAATGCTCTATTGCCGGTCAATATTCTCTAAGTATTGGACCGGGCACGGTCCCGAATGATACCGCACTTGTATCCCTTTGAACTTCAGTCGTATAATAAATCTCTTATTAACCAAGCTTGCTCGGGACCGTACCGGAAGAATATCGGCCCTCGGTCTTTTTTGTACAGACCTCGCTGCGCTCGGTCCGTACTGTCAAGAGCTCGGGCCGATATTCTCCCAGTACGGCCCTCGCGCTTGGTTAATAAGATATATTTCTTGTAATAAGGATGGGGACATTTTCTAATTGTTTTTGTCCAATTGCGAATCAATCAATCGACGAGTTATTTCTATCGACTACGTCTCTCTTGGATTACCCCGTTCGATTTGGTGTAAGGCACGATTAAAAGTGTTCCCGACCTTACCCATGTCTCAACCCATTCATCCCTTTATTTCATACACCTGTAGCCTGAAAGTTCTACCCCGCTACCCCTTCCTGTGTTGGAAGTGCCTCCCCAACCCTTACACAGCCGACACCCAAGAGCAAGAACTGGGAACAGTTTATCACCAGTCTTCACTCATTTGAAACGATTTGAAAAAAGGCGCCAAACATCTGATTTCTTATTCGAACGCGCTTTCTCTCAGCTCTTCCAGTAATTTCTTCATTTGGCGTATGATGGCCACGTTTTCTGATTCCTTTGACTCAGAGGATGAATTAGACGATGAAGTGTACATCGGTGGATATAGAGGGGACATTGTTGGAATCCGCTACTATCGCGGTACAGTTAACAACAACGAAATGGTATCGCTCCTGCGCGAACCCCACAATCCTTACGACAGGAATGCTGTCCGTGTTGACAATGTCTATAGCATACAAGTAGGGCATATAAAAAGAGAATTAGCTCGAGCTCTGGCTGATGTGATTGATAACAAATTGGCGAGAGTGGAAGGGTGAGTTTCCCCTAAGATTAGATTACGCAAACATTTAGAACATCGCTTATCTGCCGTTGATCACATTACGTGACGTGTGTTCTGCGCAATGTTGGTGTCCACATTGTTCATATGCCTTGTTTACAGGTGATAAATATTTGTTTAGCTTTATTCGGCGATGGAATCCCTTCTTTCGTAGCTATTGTATCGACATTGTGGAGATCTTGCCGAGATCTACTAAGGAATTCAGTTGTTTCAAAACGAGACAAAAGAAATAAAAACCCTATTGTGATCGATCATAAGTATAGCTGATATTTATATGATAGGCGCAACCACGCGCATTGTCAATGGTTCTTACTTATAATCTATTACAGGATAGACCTATGCATGAAGTCAACATCAACACAAATATGCTTTTTCATCTTTTAAAACAGATAGATTACATGTTGTCATGGGCCCATGCAGTATTTTGCCACAATTTACAGTAATGTCATACTCCGATAGGCCAGGCTGCTGCTGTCGATAAGAGTACAGACAACGCTGCTTACGTCAATGTGTCACACACTGAAAGAATCGTTTTACTCAACGTTGATATTGTGATAAAAAAACATCGTCAGTGGTTTAGTGTTGTCTGTACTCTTGTTGACCACAGTAATTGTCATCACAGTGCTGCGCCTTGTGAGTCTACAACATTTTGACCACTGTGATGACCAATGTCATTGTCAATAAGATTACAGACTGTACTAAACCACTACTGATTGGTTAAATAGATCACAGAAGATTTCAAGATGTGGCAAGAACATTAGTGACACACTTGGTTGTGCCTCTTTTATGCTCCTACTACATTTTGATGTCAGATCTGTGATTATTATTAGATAACAGATGCATGGGAAAATGGAATCTATCTGTTGGTTAGATCACATCTGGGTTATGAAGGCTTGAAAACTTATAAGATTTTCTGACAAATAGTTTCCATTTAAGTTTCCTTCATTTGTATGTATTTGATTTTAAAGTTAACCAACTTAAGATTCCTTAATTTGCTAGTGTTGTTCCCTATGGAAAAAACAACATTTATACCATGCCTTGTGACATCACATTCTGGGGAAAACCGCAAAATGAGCAAGAGGTTATCCAGCGAATGCATTGGCATGGCTACATTTTGAAGACCGCTAGAGAGCCAATACCACAAAGAAGTGGGGTCCCTGGTCAAGACCCGCGCTCATGGATGGCAACTGGTAGACCTTCTATAAGAATTTCCCAGGATCAGGTAATGAATATTTTAATAAACTTTTAACAATCCTCTGATTGCTTTTCCAATTTTTTTTTTTGCATGCGTATGAATAGTTCAGATATTAGAAAGAGTGTTTTGATTTTTTTTTTTTTTTTTTACGAATTCACAGTGTACAATACTGGATGATCTTTGTTGTTGTCTCTACTTCTAGATGACCAGAGAATTGGACAAGTTATTTGAAAAGCTTGGAAAGGAGAACAAGCTGGAGACAGTAGAACCTGCTGAGGTATGATAATTTGGGTTACAGTGTTTAAAATATCACCAGTATTTTGATTTGATTTCAGATTTACATAATGGTAAATTGAAGCTTTATTATAAATATGAACTTTGTTCTTTTGCCTCGTATTCCAGCACTGCAAGTTATTTAATGTACAAGTATACTTAAAATAACAATGAAAAAAGCAGGGTTTTCTCATTAAAGCTAAACAGAGCAATATTTTTTCAGGCCATAAAATCTGTGCTTTTCTTGCATCAGAAGCAAGCTCTGGCTTGGATGATTGCTCGAGAAAATTGCAAAGATCTTCCCCCCTTCTGGAAAGAACAGACTATTGGGGGCAGGAAAGGATATTTCAATACAGCCACTAACTATGCAACTGGAACACGGCCCAAATGTGTGCTTGGAGGGATTCTAGCTGATGATATGGGACTTGGAAAAACTCTGGAAGTCATCTCACTTATTGTCACAAATTTTTACAATGGAAAACCACTGGTTACTCTGGCAGATTGGAATTCTACAGTGGCAAAAGCATCAAAGGTGATTATGAGAATTACATCCCCCATTCATAATATTAAGATAATTTAGAGTTTTATGTTATCGTGACTTTCCAAAGTTTTGTCACTTGTCTGTGAAAATTCACTTGAAAACTGCACAGAAAAGTTTCAAATTAAACCCAACAGTGGTTTCTCACTTTGCAATTATAACACCCAAGCAATCTCCCATGGACTCGTACTGAGTTACTATGACTGGTTGCTTGGAGGAAACAGATTGAGACAGGTGGGACTAGTCAATTCTGCTTCCCCTCTGGGACAGGGGGTTAAAAACATGGACTATTCAAATGTGTGCTATCTCTTGGCAGAAAAGGAAACAGCTAAAAGGAACAAGCTACAGAGTAAAGCAAAAGTGGAGGAAAGAAGATGTCCTGAAGGATAAAGATGATGAAGACATTGTTGAGGTCACTGATAAGGATGACAATGAAATTGTTGAGGAAGATGATGATGAGTACTCAGGTGTTGTGCCATTTGATGAGACCGGTAAAGAGGATCCAAACTTCAGTCCTGGTCTAGATTCCATTAACAAGCCTCGTAGCTCTCACCCAATCAGGAGATCATCAAGGTTTGTTGTTTCTTTGCATTATAGGGTTTTGGTGGCTCCCACCTCTCCTTTCTTTTCATAGGAAGTTAGAGCAGTTTTCAATTGAGTATGAAAGAAACAAAACTAATAAAAGTAATCACAGTGACCAATCAGACAAAGGTTTATACAATGATAAACCAATGGGGGCTTAAAGTGAAACAAGCAAAATGCTTGAAAAATGTGATTGTTTTTAGTTTTGCATCTGATTGGTTGAGAGAATGGCACAAGTTTTCTGGACCAATCACACAGCAAAGTTTAGTGAAACAAATGCTATCAGGGATTACTTTGAAAATTACTCTACCTTTGCAATACAACAGATGTAGATTGTAACAGTTGGTGTATATTTGAAAGTTAGAGGAGAATCTTTAAAGATGAGAATGTTAACATCAGCTTACCATGATGATATTCCTGAAAGATGCATTGATGGTAATGATTTAAAATGTATGTATGTATGTATGTATGTATGTATGTATGTATGTATGTATGTATGTATGTATGTGTGTATGTATGTATTTGCATACATATGTATGTAACACACATACATATGTATACATACATATGTATGTATGTATTTGCAAATTTTTATACAGGGTAGCCCAGTTCAGCACTCAGCCGGTTTAAATGGGGCCCTGTGTAACACCCACCTGTCCCACCCCAGGGAAGGACATCCACCACACTGACAGTAAACTCGTGTGTGGGAAATTAATGTCTCGTACCCTTAACCCTGCAGGAGATGGGGCCTACGGTTTATTTGTCCCTATCCGAGAAGACTAGAATATCTATCCATTTCTTGATATTATAGAAAGGTAGCAAATTCTCCTCAGTTATTTTAAGACCATGAGTATTGGTCTGGCCAGGGCTCAAACCCTCGACCTCCCACACAACACAATCTGGCGCTTTAACCAATTGAGCTAACTTGTTACTTGGTGTTTCCACTCACTAAGTGACTGTGAAATTTAATATTTAGGACCACCAAGAGATGGGTAGGGTATGTTCAAGCTGAAGTGTCCAGTGAAGAAGAGGATGGTGGTGCCCCAGGGGTTGCCCAGGATACAAACAATGAGATTAACAAGACTGTTTCAGTGCCCTCTCCAGCCAAGAAACCAAGAAACCAAGATAGTAAGATGATCACCATTGTAGAGGAAATAGATTCCACTAATGCTAAAGATCAAATAATCCAGAAAAGCAGTAAAACAATCAGAAAAAAGGCCAAGATGAAGCAGAAGAGTAACAAGAAGACAGGGGAAATATGTGAGGGAATGCCTGCTGAAAGGTTCATATTATGTAAAAATGCCATACAAATGAAAATGAAATGGTGTCAAAACTATGTTGTGAATGTTTGTGCTGTATTACAGGTTTTTAAAATGGCTTAAAGGCAGTTGCTTTTGATAATTGAAACACCACTAAGATTTTGATTGTTACTTCAGGATTTAATGTCACTTAGAATATTATTAAAAACAGTGGCAACTGCATCCTCCATGGGAACTTCATGGCTGTCAATGGTACGAGAGAATATTGGAGATGCTTGAAGTCTATTGGAATTTCTTTACAGTACATTACTGCTTTCTAAACTGACTGGAGTCACTTTGAAAATAATTGTAGATTGTTTTAATAACCAAAGATGAATTTACACACGAACCTCAAAGCCAGACGACCTTACACTGAGACAGTCAGTTCTAGGGAGCACACACACAAAAAAATCATTGTTTAATGTCAGGTTGAGCTTCCATGTTATATTTGTGTATCTGAAATATTTACACTTGTCTACTAGGTAAACATATATCAAGCACAGTAGCTGACGTGGACCAAACTATCGCTACAAATGACAATCGTCCCTTACCATCTCTTCCACAAGATTCTACGTCATCCTCAAAAGAGCAACCAACAGGTTTGTTTTGAAGCTATTTACTCTCATCAAATTCTTGCATGATTATGTAATGCTGTGGAACAGGATTCCCTCAGAGATTAGAAAACTGCTTAGTTTAAATGTTTTTAAAACTTCATTTCATAGGAAAGATTTTTCTGATACACCATTGTAACTTTTATTACCAACAATGTAAGTTTTTGTATTTTTAACATTATAGCTAATATTTCCTTATTATTCACGATGTAAGTTTTGTATTTTTAATATTATAGCCAATAGTTCCTTAGAGTATTTTAGTTTAGTTTAAACACGATTCCTACGAAGACCATGCAAAATGATACGATTTCGTGTATAAATAAAGATTGATGATGATGATGATGAAAGGAGAGGGTACAGGTTTTTGTTGATAACTCTAACAGATGGTTGTACTTTCGTCAGCTTCAAGTAAATCTAGCAGTGTTGTACAACAGTGTCCAGCAGTGTCACCTGTTCCTTCTGTGGCAGAGTTTTCAAAGTTGAGCAGAGAAGAAACTGCAAAGATGGGACCAAGACCAACTTTGGTTATCTGCCCACTGTCTGTGCTGAGCAACTGGCAGGTATTCATACTTTCTGTCGCCTTACCACCATGAGAAAACTGTGATGTGCAGTAAAGCCTGTCATTATCTCAGACCACCACTATGGAAAAATAAGCTTTGACACCTAGACAAAGATGTGGGTTATGTGGCAGCTCCCCCACAAACCAAAGTCTTTGAAAAGACTGCATATACTGTTTCTGGCTCATGTTGGTAGAAATAATTTTCCGCAAAAATGATTTCAGTGTTTTCTGAAGACCCTTCTGGATCCGTGTACTCAAAATAAGGGTTTATCTGAAGCTTAACAAAATGCAACGTTGCTCTTTCTTCAGTATCAGTTTGACACTCATGTCCGTGAGGGACTGGTGAATGTGTATACATACTACGGCTCTGAGCGCAAAAAGGACCAAAACTTGTTAGCGGAACGAGATGTTGTTCTGACCACCTACCAGACGTTATCTTCTGAATTCTCCAAGGTAATGTATTCTTTTTAGTAGCAGCACAATTGCAAAAGAAGTTCAGATTTGTCTTAGACAAGGTTGAAGTTATAATTAAAGGGTGGAAAAGAACTTCTGCTATCATCATCTTCCAGATAATTTTTTTTTAGTTGTGATCTTATACTTGTTCGAAAACCTCGCATATTTTCACTCCATTTCACAGAAAAAGTCTGCGCTTATAGGCACACTATGGCTCAGAGTTGTTCTCGATGAAGGGCATGTGATCAGGAACCCCAATGCCATGATGTCAAGGGCCGTCCATGCCCTGAAGAGTGAACGCCGATGGGTGATAACAGGCACACCAATCCAGAACTCCATGAAGGACATGTTCTCAATTATAAGCTTTCTGAAGCTGGAGCCTTTCACAGACAGACAGTGGTGGAGACGAACAATGGAGAGACCGATCAGTGAAGGTGATCAGAGTGGGTTGAGGTAAATGGAAAACGTGGAACGATTTATAGAGCTCGTTCGATGGTTTATGGATGCGAGTGAAGCCGAAAATAGGGCGGTAGCTTCCTGGTGTACTTCCCGAAAAAAATGACGTAGTACGCCCAACATCGATTACAGGGCTTGACACTAACGGAAGCCCATTAGCCACAGACTAGTAGAAATTCAGTTTTGGATGGTGGTTTTCGGTTTCCACTGGCCAGTTTGGCTAGTAAACGAACTGACATTGTCGTGGCATGTAAGATGTCACCAGCCACTTGGCTAGTGAGTTGAAAAGTTAGTGTCGAACCTGGATTATAAGGCTTTTGTTTAGTGAAAGTGCAGTCTCGTTGAAACGTTGAAAAAAAGGGAAGCCAAAGGATCAAATCAAACCACGAAAGGTTTATTTTGGTCTCTGAGCATCAACTGTCTGGGGAAATTTACCCGTTACCTCGATATCTTGCTCTCGAGCCAGCTTTTTCTGACGGTTGTTGAAACATATGGGCGCGTGGGCTTCGGATCATACGTAGAAGTACCAACACTAAAGCGATCTCGGGAGATCAGTCAGAAACGGTGTTCACGTGCGTAGGGTATGGGATTGACGTTGTTATGGTCTTGCCTTGTTTCCTTAATCTGGGCCATCTGCAAAAATTTCCTCTCCTTTGTAAGCTGTTACTTGCAGTCCAGTGAAAGTCCTGTGTAGATTGTTTCAGGGCGTATCAGAACGTCTGAAAGTGCCCAGTCGAAAATCCCTATTAACTCAGTTGTTCTTTGGTGAAAGCCGATTGCAGTCACTAATGGGAAGTATTGCATTGAGGCGCACTAAGACGCAAGAAGTGAATGGAAAACCGCTGGTGGAGTTGCCGGAAAGACAAGTGTTTGTGCAGCCTGTGGAGTTATCACTTGAGGAGAGAAAGCTGTACGATTCCATGGCTAGAGAGGGGAAACTTGTTATTGGCAAGTAAGTGGCTTGAAAATGCTTGACTTTTCGAAGATGGCTAATCATTTTTGAACGTAATTAAACTGTGTATTTGCGTGCTACTAAAGGCGGCGAGTGGGTTAAGATTCGCGATGGTTGTTAACATCCCACCTCCTATAGTTATCCAGCAATGCCAAAACAACTTTTCTCCACTGGTGCTCTCAGTTAGCGTTTGATCGCAGAGGCGAGTTAAAGCGAAATCTTCACTATCATGATGTGTTTCTAGATATTTCAAGACTGGAAATGTTCTTCAGAATTATGCTGATGTTTTGGCGATTCTCATGCGGCTCAGACAGCTTTGTTGTCACCCTAAGCTTTGTGCTACAGCGCAGGCTTTGGCCTCAAATGAAAGTAAGCACCGTGATTCTCTAGTGTTCTTAAATTAGTATCTTGAACCAGAAACCTCGTTTATTTTCCTTGCAGTATTTAGATTCTGTGAAATGGAGATCAGTGCATGAGTACTTATGTGCGCTGGTAAGAAGCACCGGTGAACCATCGTTGGTTTCAGTATTTCTCTTCATAAATGCAGGAAGGCAAAGACTCCATGCTACACTGACTCGCTTGCCCGCCCGCCGTTTTCTTTAAGATTAATCACTTAACCCTGAAGAATGACAAGGATCTTATTTTTCCTTACAATACAATACAAAGACTTTATTTAAACACGATAATTGTTAAAGCGACTACACGCTTGTGGGGTCGTGCGTAAAATGGAATAAAATGAAATGTAGTAAAATAAAATAATTAAAGTAGCCTATCAAAATTAGAAGATCTAAAAATATTTAAAATTGGGATCCTTAAAGTTCACTGTCTGTGGAGAAATAGAATTAAAGTTCAAATTTAAAAGTGCCTTTGATTTGTAGGCTAACGAGGAGAGCTGCTTAATGGTTATATTTCTTAAATTTGATTCTTGGAGAAGTGTGTTAAAAACGATAGGTCCTCTTCTGGAAAAACTGTTTTTCATGTAATATGT